CCACGGGCTCAGGCAATCCACTCACCTCAGCCTCCCAAAGTGCTGGGATTACAGGCTGAGCCACCGAGCCCTGCTTGCATTTCTCTTATGATTAGTAAGGCTGGGCAGTTTTTCATACGTTTCTTGGCTACTTGTATGCCAGAGAATTTTTTTTTCCCCTTTTTTTATTGTAGAGACGCGATCTCGCCAAGTTGCCCAGGCTGGTCTTGAACCATGGTCTCAGGCAAACCTCCAGTCTCAGCCTCCCAAGTGTTGGGATTACAGGCGTGAGCCACCACGCCTGGCTGAGGATTCTTATTTTAAGAAAATTTAAGCCATGTTGTTGCTTTCATATACATGCTCACTGTAAAAAAAAAAAAAAAAATCCTAACAGATGAACATTAATAAAAATTTAGTTCACATTCTCAAAAGATACCCAGTCTCCTATATATCTTTCTAGACATTTCTGAATACACAAATAAACATGTTGACACATCTTAAAAAACATAAAAGTAATCTGTACTGTTTATTTTATAGTGTTTTAAAAATATTTTCCTTGAAAGGTAATTAATATTTTCCTTTCCTGTTGCATGGGGGTATCATAATTTAACCATTCCACCCTTCTCCTTGAGTGCTGTGACTCTGAAGCCAGACAAAAACTCAGATGTGGAATAGCAACCAGTTGTCATTTTCGTATCGGCAGGGTTGTGGCCTTGCCAAACAGCAAAAATGTGAATACAGAATCCAGCTAACCAAAGAAGGAACACCGTGTGCTAAGGACTAAGAAAACTGCAGGGAGAAAAGGTGAGGCCAGGGACTTACATGTCCCGTCCTTTATGCACCCTCAGAAAACCAAAGAACAAGCCAATAAACCGTGAAAACGACAAAAAGCATCCATCTTGGCGAGTCCCAATTTCTAACTAACAAATGAGACGCTGTGACCAAAGTCAGCCCTAACTAATGACATATCTAGACAAAGTGACTTCAGATCTCCAGGGCGTACCACGTACACCTCATTTTTCCCATTTCGCGAACTGCAACCGGCGTACCGCACCCTCCTGAAGAGAAAGGATGTTTTTCTCCTCGCCTGGGGTTTCTGGACCTTTCGCAGCTGCGGGGGGGCGGAGGGAGTCAGCGGCGCACGCGGCCCCGCGGCCCCGCCCCCAGCCATTCCCGACCACCGGCGTCCCGAGGCCGGCGTCGGGCGCGGGCCGAGCGCGAGCGGCGATTGGTTCGGGGCCAGAGGGGGCGGGCCGTAGGGGTCCGGCCTATAAAGCGGCCGCGCCGCCGGGCTGGGGTTTGCGCCGCGGTGTCCTGCGGGGTCGTCCGCTTCTGTCGCAGCCGTCGCAGCCGGGACCGGAGCGTGCCCCCCGCCCGTCATGCCGATGAAGGCCGTGTGCGTGTTGAGGGGCGACGGCCCGGTGCGGGGCACCATCAACTTCGAGCAGAAGGCAAGGGCCGGGGCAGGGGCCTGGGGCCAGGCCGCGCCCGCCCGCCTGCGCACCTGTGCTGCGCGCGGGCCTGGCCGCGCTGGTCACGCCCCCGCCGCGCCGGGGCCGCCCGGAGACTTTGCCCGTCCCCGCGGTGCGGCGCCCGCTCCAAGTGCTGAGTCACCGGGCGGGCCGGGGCGCGGCGGCGTGTGGCCGAGGCCGCCGCGGGGCTGGGGCCGGGCCTGGGCTGCCGTGCGGGGAGGGGACGCCGGGGCCCGCCCCGCGGGCGCGAGCTTTCGCGGCCGGGGAGGGGAGGAGGCGGGCGGGCTGCCCCGGGTCCTCGGCCGCGTCTGCGGGGTCTGATGACGCGTCGAGGCGGCTGCGGCCCTTCCCCGGCTCGTCGTGCTCTTGCTCCCGAGGGTCCCCCGGGCGCCGAGTGGCGCAGTCGAGGCCCGGCGCGTCCTTGAGATCCGGGCTTGCGAGCGCTCCCGGGCCCGCCTGGGTGTCGCCTGTCGCCTCCCTGTCCCTCGGGGGCTGCTCTTCTGACTCAGCGCTTTAGGTTGGTCGGGGGCCCCCGTTTTTGTGCAGCTCTCGAGCTAAGAATGTATTTCTGTTTTGTTTTTTTTTTTTACGTTTAAAGCGCTGTGACAAGCGTAGGTTGCAGAGACCGTATGTGGCACCTTCCAGGAAAGTTTGCTGGTCTCTGTTCTAGATCGTGGTTAGTCAGGCTTTAAGGGCAGAGAAGATGGACAGAGATCCTTTCCCTCCTTTATTAAGCTCCAGAGCCAGAGATCTAACTGATTTTTTTGTTGGAGTTTTCCACGGTTGTGAATCTCACCTCTGGGTGCACAGTCAACTCATTTGGGAAGCTTTTACTGTTATTTATTATTATTTTGAGTCTGTCGCCCAGGCTGGAGTGCAGGGCGTGATCACTTGCCACTTCGACCTCCTGGGCCCAGGCGATCCTTTCTGCCCCCAGAGTATCGGGGACTAAGGCGCCAGCCACCACGCCTGGCTAATTTTTTAATTTTTTTGTAGAGACAGGTCTCGCTGTGTTGCCCAGGATGTTCTCGAAGTCCTGCGCTCAAGCAGTCCTCCTGCCTCTGCCTCCCAAAGTGCTGGGACCAAAGGCATGAGGACTGGAGCTTTTAAAAAATACAAATACCCAACCCCAGACTAGTTACATCAAAATCTGCCCGGAGCAGTCAGAGCATTGCTATTTTCAAAGTTTCCAAAGTGATTTTTTTTTTTTTTTGAGTTGGAGTCTCACTTTGTTGCCCAGGCTGGAATGCAATGGCACGCTCATGGCCACCCCAGCGTCCACTTGCTGGGCTCCGGCGATCCTTCTACCTCAGCTTTCCGAGCCTGTAGCTGGAACTACAGGCGTGCACTACCACGCCCGGCTAATTTTTGGTTTACTGTAGAGACGAGATCTTGCCAAGTTGCCCAGGGTGATCTCGAACCTGCGGGCTCCCAAAGTTCTGGGATTATGGGTTGAGCCACCGAGCCCAACCAACAAAGTGATTTTTAATGTGCACCTAGGATTGAGAATGCTTGTTGTTTGAGGACCGTGGGTGGGGTTTGGGACTTGGAAATTAGGAGCCCTGGAGTTTCCATTACATCAAATTGGCACTTAGTAACTCCGTTCTTGGAGCATTTCTTAGCCAAATTTTCTGTAAACTGGCATTAAAATTGCTCTGCCAATAGGCCTGCTGCTGAGATGGCCCAAGACAAACCTCTAGAGAAACCTTGTAAAAGAAAGTAGTATTTTCAGAAATATTAACAATGATACTGCGAAACATGTTGCAAGGAAGGTGCTTATGATAACTGTCCCCAGAACCTCAGCTCCGTTAACAGCTGGCGGAGAGTTGTCTGTTGTAGTTGGCCTAATAATTATGAGAGAATAGTATGTATGAGATTCAGTCTTTAAAGTGGTTTACAGAAATGTGGGACAGGAACACAGTTTGTGAAAGTGTCTGTGAAACTTATGTGAGGGAGAATTTATATTCAAGTTTAGATTTTACTTTAATTGGGCTTCATATTTTCTGGAAAAGTTTCTTTGGCATTGACTGCATTTTGCTGCATTTGTGAGACTCCCTCCCTCCCGCCAATAACTCGCTATTACTAGAGAGTCTTGAAGCCTCTGAGGAATCCCCTCTCTGGCCATTGAGAAGCCATACATGAACCCAGTTCCTGTTGTTTTCCCATCTTCCTGAGCGGCTGGCATGGTTTCTTCTATGCCCAAATTTCATTTTGGTAGTGCCCTTTGTACCTGACAAAGACCCTTGGATAGTTAAGCATTACAGCTCTCCAGATAGGCAGATGTAATACATTGGCTATAAACTGTATTTAATTTGGCCTGTTCAGTGTTTACAATTTTGGGTTAGTTGCCAGCTTTTATTTTATTTTATTTTATTTTTTTGAGTTAAGAGTCTCACTCTCGCCCAGGCTGGAGTGCAGTGGCATGCTTTCGGCCACCACACCACAGCCTCCGCCTGCTGAACTCAGACAGTCCTTCTGCCTCAGCCTTCCAAGTAAGCTCAGGGTTCCTCTTTTTTTCTGTCTGTCTCTATGTTTGATGTATGGAAGAGTGTCTGCGTGAAGAAAGAGCAAGGGATTAAAGAATATATGATGAGACATGCACCCTTCGGGTTAAAAAGTTTGATTTGCATGTATACTCAACACCTACAGATACAGCGTAGTCATAAAAGTACTTACTAGATAGGTACTTACTGTAAGAGTGTCAAACCCTGCACAGTCTGTAAGTGTGGGTGCTCACCATGCTTGCCACTCTGCTAGGTGCGTTTTATATGCTAGTTAATCTCAGTGGCCTTAGGGTGCTTGTGCTTTGAGTGTAAGAGCAAGATTCTCATCTCCCTCCCACAGGGACAGAGGCCCAGAGCAGTTAATTAGTCAGCTTGAAAGCAACTGGCTAGAAAGTAGAGGGCCTGGGATTTGGACACGCTTTTTTTTTTTTCTGGACTTCCACTGTGCCTGGCTAATTTTTTGGCTTTTTTTTTATTGTGAAGTTGTGGGGTACAGTTAAGGGTTAGGTATACAATCGCGTTTCATTCAGGCACCCTGTTGATAAGGGGTGTTTCCCCGTTCCCAGACAGATATTTGCTACTGTTAATCCCATCTCCCTCCCCCCACCATAGTTTTTTTTTTTTTTTTTTTTTTTGGCTTTTTGTAGAGGTGAGGTCTTGCTATGTTGCCCAGCTTTAAGTCTGTATTCTTTTCACTTTACTGTGAGAGATAAAAAGTAAATTAGTTAACTGTTTTCTTTGTTCAGAAACACATGCTCTCTCAAATTTCATGCACTTTTCTCTAAATCAAGGAAAATGGGCCAGTTGTGGTATCAGGATGCATTACAGGACTGACTGAGGGCCTGCATGGATTCCACGTTCACCAGTTTGGAGATAACACACAAGGTGGGTGTTATTTTGCTCCAGCAATGCATACTTCTTTGACCTAGTAAGACAGTACTGAGGAGAATAATCTCTAAACAGTCAAAGCCCTCGACTTTTTTTAAAGAGGTCACCTTTTTTGCATAAGCACTGTGCTTTAATATTGCAGAAACTAGGGCCATATATTGATTTTTGTAATAATCCTAGCAGAGTGCATACAAGAAGAAAAGTAACTGCACTAGGTTGTGAATACTGTCCAGTGTCTGTGTCTTAAGATTTGGTGCAATGTATCTTTAGAAAGAAAATTAAAAAGAGGTCAAGTTAAAATGACTGCTAAACTCAACCTTAAGATTAGCCACAAAACTGATCTGTATTACCTGCAGATCCTCATACTTTTAAAACAGGGGGCCAGTTCACTGTCCCTCAGATCGTTGGAGGGACGGACTATAGTTAAAAAAAAAACAAAACTATGAACAAATTCCTTTTTTTTTTTTTTAAACTATAGTCCGCCCCTCCAACGGTCTGAGGGACAGTGAACTGGCCCCCTGTTTTAAAAGTTTGAGGACCCCTGAAAGGGGAAGAGAAAAGGAAGGCGTTGATTTGTTAAGATCATGGCTTGATTATAGAAGATGGTGGAGTCTCACTCTGTCACCCAGGCTGAAGGTCAGTGGCATGCTTATGGCCACTGCAACCTTGACCTGCTGGGCTCAGGCGATCCTTCCGCTTCAGTCTTCCATTAAGCTGGAACTACAGGCGTGTGCCACCACGCCTGGCTACCTTTTTGGTTTATTGTAGAGACAAGTTCTCACCAAGTTGCCCCCGCTGGTCTCAAATCCCTGGACTCAGGCAGTCCTCTCAACTCCACCTCCCAAAGTGTTGAGATGACAGACGTGAGCCACTGTGCCCAGCGATGGTGTTTTTTTAAAAGAACACAATCGAAAAATAGAGAGTAAAAAGTTGAGCTCCTTTCTTATGGAATGATCCCAGGTGTTTGAGTTGGGTTGAGGGTGGGTGCCTCACCCGCAGGATCTGCATTTATTTGCGTTATGCTGTGTACTAGAATAGCTTCACATCCCAGCATGAGATGCTCAATGGGACAGAGTATGATACAAACTGAAGATAAAATGGAGACAGTTGGTGCTTTGAAGTGAGTTTCATTTTTCTTTTAAGTTTGTTTGTTTTGAATCAGAGTCTCACCCTGCCTCCCAGGCTGGAGTGAAGTGGATGCTCACGGCCACCACACCACAGCCTCGACCTGCTGAACTCAGGCAATCCTTCTGCTTCAGCCTTCCAAGTAGCTGGAACTCAGGTGCACGCTACCATGCCCAGCTAATTTTTTTATATATTGTAGAAACAAGGTCTCACTGAGTTGCCCAGACTATTCTCAAAACCCTGGGCTCAGACAGTCCTCTTGTCTCAGCTTCCCAAAGTGCTGGGATTATGGGTGTGAGCCACTGTGCCTGGCCTTTTTATTTTTCCAGTTAAAACTTAAAAAAATTTTTTTGGAAAAACTGGGCAGCCCCCAAAACAATAGGGTTAGAGAGACTCCCAAGTTTAGTTTTCTTAATTTAGGGTTAGAAACAATAACAAAAGATGGGTTAAGTTGCAGTTAGTGGTCTTTTGCCTCATTGAGTACTTGTCCGAACTTTGTGTTCATAGATGTCTTTTGATGAGAACTTTATTCGTTTCACTAATACTTACCTTTAAAGTCTTGTAATTTAGTTCCAGGATAGTGATTTAATGATCAGATTTGATCAATTTCAGTAATTACTAACATTTCCCAAGTTGCTTTTTGGTTTTCCTGCCTCTGGTTTACAGGCGATTGCTCTGTAGCTTTGACTGGCTGTGCTACTTCCTGTAACCTGCCCGTCTGTCTGTGTGACACTCCTGGGGAGGCTAAGTGGGGAGGACTGCTGGATGAAGACAGCCATGTTATAGGAGGACCTCCTGTACTGTCGGGGTTGTGTTGAATGTGCACGACGTCCCCTGGTGCTTAGGAGTCCCCGTTGTATGGGTGCAGTCGGAATGTTGCCCCTGGAGTTGTGCGGGGCAGCGGCCTTGGCCCTTGGATATGAAGTGATGCTCAGTGATCTGCCTGTACCAGTAAAGGCTGAGGATAGGAGGGCTGCTTGGTGGTGTGTTCTGGGGGAGATGAGTTTTTTGTAGCTAGGATATGCTACCTTCTTAGAGACTAGGATCAGAATCATGGACTTTTTAATAGAAAAGCCGTTGAAGATCAATGTCCGGGTCCTTTAACAGTGAAGAAGCCAAATCCCAGAGATGGGCATTAACTTGACTAACTTCACTGCGTCAGACAGTAGTTAGAGCTGTATCCCTTGTTCCTGTTTTTATACCCAGGTGTTGCCTATCCCCATTGGTGATTTCAGCAGTAATATTTCTTTCTATAATTCATTTTGGGATTCTGATTCATAATTTAGTTTTTTTTTTTTTTTTTTATGAATAGGCTGTACCAGTGCAGGTCCTCACTTTAATCCTCTATCCAAAAAACATGGTGGGCCAAAGGACCAAGAAAGGTGAGCAACAAGATGTTTAACTCTTATTAAAATCATAACAGCTGGCTTTTTGGAGACAGTGTGGGGTACTCCTTGTAAATCACATATTAGGTGATGAGTATTCTCTCTCTCCCGTTTTTGTATTTGTGGACTGCCATGTAACTTCCCTGCTCCCAAGTGCTAGAATTGTTTATTCCCTGGGCTTAGGAGTTGAAAAATGGGGACACTTAAAATGATTTGGTTTTATAGCATTTATTGAATATAGAACTAATACAAATGCCGAAGGGAATACAAGAAATGTCATGAATAACAGTACTGTGAACTACTAGCAAAATAAATCATCATTGTGAAACATAGGAAGCTTCTATAGATAAAAAGTTGATATTGAAAACTAGTTGAGACTGCATCTGTATGTTTTCAGAAAGCCTTTCAGGAAAATATTAACTTTAGGGACAAGGATTTATTTTTATAACAGAGGCCTAGGGGTGTAGCTTTCTTTGCTATGCCAGTAATGAGCAGGCTTAACTCAGTAACTGAGAGTTCACCCTTTGGTGCACCTCCATCCCATCACTCCTCTCAGGGCATTACTTTGTAGATGTGAAGCCTTGTTTGAAGTGCTGTGTCTAGGATATCTAGCTACTTGTTTTCCAATTTGTGTTTCCAGAATTTTGTCCATCTGGAAGATTGGGTCTTATGTGATATACACACCTCTTAGCCCACCCTTATGTATTTGACTCAACTAATTTAGGTCGTGAACTGTCCTGATATTTAGTGGAATCAGTCTAAGTCCATCTGATGCTTTTTCAATGCTAGGCATGTTGGAGACCTGGGCAATGTGACTGCTGGCAAAGATGGTGTGGCCAATGTGTTGATTGAAGATTCTCTAATCTCACTCTTTGGAGACCATTCCATCATTGGTCGCACAATGGTGGTAAGTTTTTATACAGGGATATGCATACAGTTTTTTCTAACATACAGCCGTGCATTGTTTCACAGTTTCATGATTGTTAGTTCTGGTTTCTGAGGATCCACATAAACTAGTAGTTTAGATTATTACATGATTACAGTGGAAATGAGTTATTTTATCTAGGTCAGTTAAGAACACTGTTCTGCTAAGGTGCAGATGCAGTAAAAAGTAGGTTGTATTTGATCGTATTAGATCCAGGCTGGGGAAACAGAAATAGTCTTTAGTTTTAAAATGCCCAGATTTTCTTGCCAGGATTGGGTTTCCCCCTATTAGTTAAACAGAACATTCTGTTAAGTCTAAACCCTGGGATGGGCTTCTTTGTGCACCTTCACTCAGGTCTGCAGGTTTTCATTACTGGTCTAGCAGTGGGAAGCGGTTGCCCTGTTAACCTGGGGCGCTGCCTCTGGGTCATGCAGAATACCCTGGAGTGTAGCCTCTCTTGCCTGTCCTTGAGGACAGTCAAAATCCTGGAGTCACTTCCTTTTAGCTGACCTTAACCTAATAATTTTCTTCAGCCAGAATTGTGAAGCACAAAAATCATTTATAAATGTAATCAAAACTCAAGACACTATTGCTAAAGTGTTTTAGATATTTTTAGGATTATATCTTTTTTTAGGTCTATAGTTCATTTGGCATGAAATTCTGATACATTTTTTGTTCATTTTTTTTTCTCAAAGAAGCTTTTAAAAAGTGGTCAAAGTAAAAAAAAAAAAAAAAAAAAAAAAAGAACTTCTGTAACTCAGGTTACTTAATCATGGAGGATTAAGACCACCATGTGGCAGCCTACAACCTAGTTGTTTGGGTTTTTAGAATTTTATTTAGAGAGAGCAAGTCACCTATGTCTTTGCACCATCAAGAAAAAGCTGAGTAGTAGGTTTTACTTTTAAACTACTAGATTAAATATTAGTATATTCTCCTAGTTAGGGTCATTTTAACATGTTTTTCTAACATTTCATATATTAAAACTCTTTTGGGTATCGTTGGGAAGAGATAGTAATTATTTGATAGCTCAAAGTTATATGTTCTTAAAATTTTTTAAAGGTTCATGAAAAAGAAGATGACTTGGGCAAAGGTGACAATGAAGAAAGTACAAAGACTGGAAACGCTGGAAGTCGTTTGGCTTGTGGTGTCATTGGGATCGCTCAGTAAACATTCCCAGTAACGCATCTGTTAATCCTGCTAGCTGTAGAAATGTAACTTGATAAACATTAAACACTGTCATGTTACAAGTGTAATTGCGTGACTTTTTTAAAATTGCTTTAAGTACTTGTAATGAGAACTGACTTATGATCACTTGGAAGATTTGTATAGTTTTATAAAACTCATATACTAATTAAAATTGTTTCAATGATCTTTGTATTTTGCCAGACTTAATCATAGATGGGTATTAAACTTAATGTCTGAATTTCTTCAATTCTCATTCAAGCCTGTGAATCAATACCCTGATATGGTAATTTTGAGCATATTAAAGTATCCAAATTGAAATTCTAAATTAGCTCTGATACCCATGTATATAGAGAACCTGAATGGAATGGATTTAATAACATTCATAGCACTCTTTCTTTGAAAGTGTTTCAAGTGAGACCGTCAGAATGTGTAAATTTGTAGCAGCAGGTCTTTTAGCTGAACCCAAACTTTGATCTTAGACAAATAGGCTGTCCTTTGTCAGCTTCAGGGAGATTTCCCTTCTGTTACTTAGCATTTTGATTCATAAAGTATCTATTTACTTTAAAAGAATAGAGGTTATGGTTTAAAAGAGCCCTTTGGTAACTTTTAGTGAACTTGTAAAAGGCAAGTTATAGCCTCAGCTAGCTAAGCATGATTATCTGTGAGAACAGCACATACTCTAAAGGTTGGCACAACTGCTTTCAGATTAGCCCTTTAAAGAAGTCTATCAGCTGTGGAACAAGGAAACGTCTGATTGGGTGCTCTGGCTGCTTAAGTAGTGAAATCACACTTCTTAATGTATATATGCACCTGTGAAAATGCTTTTAAATGAAATGTCATGCTAACTCGAGTTTGATGATGTGGATTACAATTGTTCCACTGAAAATTGTAGAATATTCTGAAAGAACCAGGAATAAACGAATCCTGTTCATTTGCAGCTACATCATGTACTTTATCAAATGTAGATCACTCAGAGGAGGAAATGCTAAACTGGAAAGAATTTGTAATGTTTTCAAAGTTTTAAAATTTTGTGATTTGAAAAATAGGATGTCAGTGGTTAAAACTTCAGGTAGAAAACTTAAAGAACGTATTCAACAGATTAACACAATTTCTTGCCTATGTGGAATAACTCAGAAACAGACTCACTTGTGACTTAGAGCCTTGCATGAGATCACACTACCAGATTTTTTATGTGCAAATAGGATGGTCTCAACGCTTTCCATTGGAAGTGCAGGCTGTAAGTCCTTGAAATCTGGTTGCTGAATAATCAGATTTGAACTTCTTTCCAGAAGCAGTTTGTCAGGATTTTTGAACCTTTCAGTGGGTCAATGTAAAACTAAGGACACGTTTTGTGATTTAGGCCCACAGATAGGAAATGGGATTTTTTTTTTATTTTCTAAAGGCAAGAATACAAGGACGTTGCCTAGCTAAATTCTTGTCAAAACAAAGATCGTGCTGCAGAGTATTTATAAACCAGAGCAATGAAGCAGCTTCGCCTGGGGATGAGGGCAAAGAAAAAGTGAACTGCTCAGCACGCTGCACCGAGGACAGTTCAAGAAGGTAATTTCAGAAAAAAGCTTCAGCAAGGCCCGAAGTACTCGGTGGAGCATCAGGTCGTGGCACAGGGTGAGCAGTTTTCTGTAATGGCTTTTCTGCACCGTTTCAAGACACAGGCTCTATTTGGCTTTGGATGTCTTCATGTGATAATTCTTGGATAACCTACAACTGTTTTTCCTAGTTAACCCAACAATTTTACGTAGGACAAAGCAAGTACTTCATGTGGCCAAGAGTTCAGTCTACCTCTGCCCAGCAGGAGAGTTAAAAACAGGTGAAGAAAGGCAACAGGCAAGGTTTTGCGCAAACAACAGGCTGCACCTAAGTCCTTCGACACATCAAATAAGACAGAAAGCTTGTAGGTTGCAAATGCTAGCTTTGATTTCTTTTACCCTTTTGGAAAATTTAATGGGATGGTTAAAACAAAACCAAAAAAAAATCCCAAACAGGCAACCTTCTAAACAAGTAATACCCAGGCAATCAGGTAATTTATAATACAATGTGTGTCGCTGGGACCTCATTTCTCCTCCCAGCCATCTCTTCACAAATTAATCAGGGCGAGATTAACCACAAAGCCAGTGGGAAAAAGTAAAACTTGATCGGACTGCAATCACAGCTTTTCAAATAACACTGAAACAACTAACCTTTACCTTATGACTAAAATGCTAAAAATCAAAAGTATTACGTAGGAAAGTGGAAATAACTACATAAAAATGTCTATTTCCATCAGTAAGTCTAATTTAGACTCCAATACAGTATTAACAGCTCAAACTTTGATGGTGACCAATCCTTTTCCACCTTAATGCAGTGTAGGAAGAATAGCACACATTAAAGTTTGTTACGAAAATAGAGTTTATTAAAAACATCCCTATTGTTTTGAGGAGCTTTCACCGTTACCTTGTCTTAAATTAAAAAAAAAAAAATAGAGAGCACTTCTAATTACGATTTGTAAACTTTTTAAAGTCAAAACTTTTAAAAAGTTACAGCAAAAAGGGTAATATTTATTCATATTTTCAGTATTTTTTGTTATTTTGTGGCTATTTTTAAATAGAAGGGAAGCAATCAAATTGCTTACAACTCCCCAGCAACTACCGCGGGGCGTGATATAGCAGGAGCAAGTATAATACAGCATCTGTACACCTCAAGCTCTACACTCCAGCAAGTGTCACTGTCGCACGTGGACAACTCCAGTCTCTAGCGAGGAGCCTCTGCTGCTGAGGCAGAATCCTTTGCGGGTTCAACGGATGAGGTAGCCTCAGCAGGCAACTCTTCAGAAGGCTTTGCGACCGCGGCCTCAGACTCCCCCTTAGCAAGTTCTGAAACAGTGTCTACGGCTCCCACTTGGCTACTGGGAGGTTCCACGGCTTTGTTACCACCTGCCCTGTCTGCCAGCTCAGGCTTTTCCTTTCCTCGGTTCTCTTCCTTCTCTCTGCGCGACTCTCTATCTCTAGAATCTCTCTCTCTGTCTCGATGCCCACTAGAGCGTCTATTTCTCTCTTCCAAGTCTCTGTGCCTGTCCCGCTCAGGGCTCCTTCTTCCCCACTCTCTCCTTTCACGGTTACTATTCTCTCTGTCATCGTTACGGTTCCCATACCGTTCCCGGTCATTTTCCACCCTACTTCCGAAAGATCTTCTTCCAAACCTCTCTTGGTCTCTACCTGAATTGAACTGCTGCCTGTTATCATTTCTAAACTGCTGTGGCTGCGGCTGCGTGGGCGGAGGCTGCTGCGCCGGCGGCGGCTGCTGCGGCTGCG